ATATATATATATATATATATATATATATATATATATATGTATATATATATATTTATATATATATATATATATATATATATATATATATATAAGTTTTCGGGGGGGGGGGCATGCCCCCCGCCCGACACCCCTAGGAAGGTCGCGCCGTGAGACACGTACGGTGCGTTTCGTCACTAACGATGTATGACAAAAGGGCCCCCGACACAAAATATGCCTAAGGGCCCCGCGTTCCTCCGTTACGCTGCTGGCTGATGACCAACAAGTTCGTAGCAACTTGTTACGAACAGCCTGTATTAGTCTTGTTGGAACACTACTTGTAGCAAGTCTGTTACCGTCATCAATCTTGTAACAAGATGGTAACAACTTGTTCCAGACTTGTCACAACAATTGGGAACAAGCAGTGCGAACATATCCTGATATCGGCTTGAGAACAACTTTGTTACAACTTGTTTCCAGATCTGGAACAAATTGCGCGTTTTTACGCGAAGAAAGATTATTTCCATATATATAGTTTGTATAAAAAATCTGTCATCTGTGTATCAACAACTAGTCACTATGATCATGAAGATATTATCTCAGAGCCTCTACTGACTGTTACAAAAAACATTTACTTTCCCTCTATACAAAATCCCCCTACCCCTTGTGAGAAATTGCATGTTAAATCATGTTGCGCTCCTTAGCCCCCGCTCCTCCAACTCAACATTGAGCTTGTGGCATGGTAAATTACCAAAAGTTGTTTCGGCGTTCTCTACAACATTGAACTGGGGGAGAGAAGGAGACGAAGTTTGTTTTGTCAATGTGCGTTAACTTTGCAATATTGGCTGGAACGATCTCAAGAGTTTTGTTCAAGATTGTAGCAAAACACACCGCAGTTCAAATCTTAGAAAAAGATCTCAGACCTATCTCACTGACCCCGAGCATATCCAAAGTAGCTGAAGAATGTGTGGTAAATAGATATATCAAACCTGCGGTTCTGAAATCCATCGACTCAAATCAATTTGGTTCTATTCCTAATT